GAATAGATCATGCTTCATCATCACGGCTAGGCTTCGCAAATGAAGATTTGAGAAGGGCTCTACCCACGCTTGCTACAAGCGCGCTGATGGCTAAAAAGGCCAATGCGAGATAGACAAGTCCGATTGCAGAAGGCACAGCAGAAAGACTCCCCAGTGATATCGACGAGATGCGATTCTTTCTGCGTTGTCTTTTCTCCTCGAGAGTGATCCTGTGTGTGTTCCCTAAAGCAGCAGCAGCGTTATAGATGGTGTGTCTCCAGGCCTCCCGATTGGAGGCCAGGGTAGACCAATGGTGGTGATCAATATGGCCAAGGCTGAGGGATTGTTTCAGGCAGTCCTTGGATCTCCTCTTCAGGGCTCCTCTCTTGTGGCAGCCAGTGGCAAGTTCCCCATAGAGCACGATCTTAGGGAGGCGGTAGTCCTTACTTGCTTACCAGCTGTCCTTACATGCTTACAGCTGCCTAATGGCTACACACTGTGTTTACAAAAGGTAGAGGTGTTTTGATGTTCTACATTGAAAACTTCTCTGGCAAACAAAAACAAGTTTGCATATTCTTTATGTAGGCATGTCAAAGAGCCAATAATCTCAATTATGTTAATCTGAAATACAGGCATAGTGTCACTGGAAGGAAAAATCTAATTTCTTTCTCTGTTTCAGATAGAAATAGCCTTATTGAAATTAAAATTATATCTTGAACTAGTTGTTAATGCAAGCAAAACTCTTTTTGTTCCCCAAGTCTTTTCCATACAGTCCTTTACCTAACATCTGAGCATATTCTTCAAGTCAGTTCTCCCCCAAAAATCCACACACAAGCTGTGACTATGTCTTGCAGGTTTTTTCCACGTAACAAAGGTAAAATAGGAGCTCTCCTACCTAAAAACACAAACCTCTCTCAGAAGCTCGAATTTTAACTACTACCATTGTCTCTTCTGGTTTTATTTAGATCACTTTCCTAGATATCATGCTGTGAACCTGACAGCCTTTTAGAAAAGTACTTTTAGTTTTTACCCTCTTAAGACTACCCCATTTTCAAATCCTAGATATCCTTTACCTACCACAGAGGACAGTAAAATCTATTTTTTACTCTGTCCAATCCATATTGTGAGAAGCCAGTCCTTTTGACTACATTTTTTAACAGAAATTTGTATCGACTGCTTTCTCAGGCCTTTTCTGCTCTCATGGAAACAGCACCTTTCCCAAAACAGACTTAACTAGATTTCAGGCTATTCACTTTATTTATGAAAATTAAGCATGTAAGTATGTTTCATGGAAATGAGACTACTGTTTTCCACTTATTTAAACACACTAAACCTGAACAGATGAAAAAAATTATAGTCTGCTATTCCCTCATTTTCACAAAACTCTTGGAGCAGCCAGGTGTGAAATCTGTGAAGATCCATGGATAGGCATAGGGTGACAGTCTGAATTTACACAAAAAGGGGTAATACAAGTGTCAGAGAGGGTCATACAGGTGTCACTCCAGGAAGAAACTGGCTTGCATATTAAAGGAACTGGGATTAGTTTGCCAAACTCAGATTGAATTCCCAGTTTCCCAAGGGACCATATTTCTATACTTGGCCAAATTTCTGTATATATATATCAATGTGTCACACTAGAGTAGAAGGCTCACCTGGAGCTGCTCCAAAGCACAGAAAGTATATCTTGAATCTAAACAGCCAATCTCACCAACTGCACCAGCAAAACCAGGAGATTCTTACACAGTCCAACACTGTGCAGACAGGAAGAGCTCTCATGTGGGCCCACTTGACAGTGAACATTGGGATGATATTTTCAGGCTTCTCAGTCCTCAAAGAGCTACACAAAACCATAGCCCACACATTTTCACATGTAATTCATGAGCCTTAGTAGAACTCTCAATGCTTACTTTATACAGAATTATGCTGTTTTTCACAAACAATTTTTAGACACAGAGTGCCAATGCTGATGTTTTCATCCTTGGATATTGGCATTGCTGGACACTGGGGGATGCTGTTCAACAGTGTTTGCTCAGCACATGCCTGTCAGAGGAAGTCTGAAGGGCTTTGTGGCACATTTAGCAGTTTCCACCTATTTATCCTGTCCACAGGCTGACTCCCTGCTAAGAAGAGATCTGTATGAACCTCTTCCCCTTGCCACCTTGCCCTTCTCCAGAAAGAAACTTGTGTATATAAGCAGAGATGGAGCCACTGGGGGCTTCAGTGGGACTACAGGAACACTACAAAGCACATTTAGCACACTGAACAATGTCTACCAGTATATACATGGTAACGTTATCCTACTTCAGCTTTAGGCTTCACACACTTCTTTAACTATGTCACAGAAAATTCTCTCTATCACATAAAAAGCTCCCTGGTTAAGTAGAGACTAATTCACTTACTCCACCTTCCTCTTCCTAAGTACACAACTTTTCCTCAGTCTTACAGAATAGAGCAAGATTTCTGGCATTCTTCTGCCTTTTTTCTAAAACTTCAGAGATTTGAATACAAAAGAATTTATCTCTCAATACATCTCAAGTTCTCAAATTCTGCATGGAACATCAAAAGGGAGAGCATAATGACAGACACAAGAATCCTGATATAGCAAACTATGCTGCTGGGCTTCACAGTTTTTTAGTTTTTATGAACTTGGACCTATTGAGCCAATTCAATTTGTCTGCAAGTATTTTATATATCACTGCCAAAATGAGCATATTACTTTATTGCAATAGATCTAACTAAATGAAAACTAAACTCCAAGCATTTTATACACATTTGAATTAAACATTAAATTGTGTTTACAAATTAAGGTATTGAGGTATTTACAAATTAAGTTGAATTGAGATGCCTTAAAAATCACTTCAGAGATGATGCTGTTGACAAGAGGAAAACCAAATGGTGAGTGGAACAGAACTTGGGAATATGAGTAGTGATTAATTAGGAATTGTTATCAATATCATCCAGAGAGAATATCAAGTATTTCCAGCAGCAGACAATCCAAGACAGTGCTCTCTAGCTTTTTTAAGCTAATAAAATGTCTTACACATAACCTCCTGGAAAGGGTAGCAAATGGCAGATGAATACAGAAAACATTTCTTCTTAATTGCAAGTTATAAAAGAAAGGATTACGGAAACATTTGCAAGAAGAGGGTGGTGGGATTCTTAGCTTTATCAACTAAAAATATTAAAATGAAAGTGGAGAATGAATGGCTAACAAACATACCACAGAAATATTTTGACTGTTTGCTGATATTCTGGCAAATCCTGACAAGACATATTGCTACATACTGGTGCATCTCAAACATGCAAACTAACTTTGACCACTGTTGCATTTTTTGGTGCATATTACAAACACATAAGAGTCCACTGCTACAGGAAGAGAACTGTCCTACCACTAACTGAGTGGGCTGACAAAACTAAGCACTGCTAAGGGAAATTACCTGAAAATCTGGCAAAATTGTGACATCACCTAGGTTAGATAACTGCACAGCCCAAAGGCAACAAATGGAGAGTAGATTCAGAAATTTGGGGGTTCTGAGATGCACTGAGGAAACAACGAATGTACACCAGTGTTGTTGCTTTGGAGATGTAGATGTTGCTAGAGTGAATATCCTCTCTGCAGTTCATCTCTCTCTTATGGAAATGAAGTTCAATAGACATCAGATTGGTGTGTCCCCAAGCAATCCTAAATGGTCACAAACCACTTACATAACCTTGGAAAATCATACCACTTTTCTGTGCTTTTATCTCTTCTTGTTTGTCTTGCCTGTCTGGAATGGCAAGTTTTAACATGATTAAAGTAGAGAGTGATTATCTCTTAATTTGTGTGTGTAATACTAGAGTTCCACGCTGGAGTTCCCAGCATTCTCATTCAGGGTCACTAGGTGTTAGTTTAATGTGATTAATTAAAATAATAACTATTATTATGGAAATTGCATATATTCTTTCTTTGGACAGTTTCTAAAAGCCTGAAAGTCAGAGAAAAACTTAGATTAAGTTGGACAATTTTTGTACAGTAAGAACCGAAAGACCCCTTTATTCAGTTCACTGGTACTCAAAAATTTTCCCCTTACCTTCTGAAGCTTTGCAGAAAAAACTGCAAACAATTTTCCCTTTAAAAATGCACTGAACAAATGCACTTATTTTTTCTATTGAATTTCCATTTTTAAGTCCAGTTTCATCAGTTTGCTATTATGCAAGTTCATCCAAATTATACTCCAAAATCTTTTCCAGTTAAACAACCATGTACCTTACTTATGTATTATTTGAATGGGAACAGAAAGGCAAACACCTCAGCATGGGGGAACACAACCAGAACTTCAAATGATTCAGTAAATGCATGGTGATGTTACTCAGGCTCAGACTTTGTTCCTGTCACTTACACAGTCTTCTCAGATGGTTTTATCTTATTAAATGTAGTTGACTTGCCATAAACACAGTAAAAGATTAATAAGACTCCATATGAATCATAGTCACTAAATGCCTCTTGTCTGAGAGTATTAAAAAGTCTTTAGGCAGCTGCCAGCTATAGCTCAGAGAGCCATATGACTAACGTGCTATTTCTGAAAGTCTTGGAGTCAGTGCATCTAACTGGACTTCACAGTGGACAATCCAAAAGGCTATTTATATTTAAAAACCATTTGGCAAGTCTTGTTCATCAAACCAGTTTTCCAGACACAAAGACTCCACTTAATAATTTGTTCTTGGATTTACTGCCTTAGAAATTAAGTTAAATGAAATTACTTGGATCATTAGAACAGGTCTGCTAGGGTAGTTCTGCATTAATTACAGCTGATGAAGTTTCACTGCCAGGTTATCTCAAAAGTCCAAAGTTAGTGAGTGCAGGAATGAAGTGACAAACACTAATCAAGCATGGAAAAAAAGCATCAGGAACACTATATGAGAATTAGAACTTTATAGTAAACATGGGACAGAATATTCACAGTATAAATAAATCACTATTAAGAAGCATTTTAGGAAAGTGCAGTGGTGCCAATACAAACTAAAAATAATTTTATTCTTACCATTTGAGAGTGGCTCCGGGGACAGCCATTGATATCTTCAACCTTTTCATTTGCTAAACAAAAACAGTGAGAAGAAAAGCAAAAGTAAACTGAGATAAAACTTTCCTTTTCACCTCCCTCCCCGGTCAAAAAAAACCCCAAGCAAAACCCAGAAAATGTAAAGCTTAAAAAAATCAAAACAGAAAAAAAACCCAGAACAGCAGAAAAGACACAGCAATAAAGTGCAGAGGGTTTTGTTGACACAGAGCCCCTTTCTAAGTAAAGCTCAGTCATACAGTAACAACACTCTTGTTAGCAGCAGTTGCTTCCACATGCTAAATCATGCAAAGGGGGAAGTGTGAAGGAGGTCGCTGCTAATTCTTCAGCCCCTGCAAAATAACTGCTGACATGAAATCTTCCACAATTGTCTTTACAGGGTCAGGATACAGTTTCAAGGCATCCCAGAAAGTATGAGCCACTCCAACTAACAAAATGCACACATGGGAGACATATGGTTTAATGGAGCATTCATTTCTGACAATTCAAAGTGTGTAAGATACAGTTCTGGCCATTTAAAGTATGGTTAAACAGCAACTTCCAAACATGCTCACATAAACATATTTTTTAATTAAGACATGAATGAACCACACAAGTATGAGACATATGGACCCAGTCAAATTGTATTATTCAGGGTTCACCTTATTGTTACATACTTTCAATTTGAATTATATATTTCCCCATGCAAGGAGTCAGGTCCCAGTGCTTCCCTCAGCCCTGGTCTTACCGATAATCTGGATGATTTCTGCTAGCAGAACTCCATCTGCAATGTCCTGTTGCAAATCCTTGATCAACCGCTTGTGGCCAGATTTTGCTAGGTAGTGGTTAGCCCAGTCAGTGTAAATCTGCAGAGCAGAGGGGGGGGCAAGGGGAAGAAGGGGAAGAGAAGAAAGAAGACAATAAAAAGTTTTAAAACAAATGTTGGCTTGCACACCAGAACTATTTTGGATCACATTCCCATTTAAGAAGTCAGCACCAAAGGAAACAATTTTAATGTGCTTTTTTGCCGCCTTTTTTTTTTTTTTTTTTTTTAATGCTGCCATGCCCCTCCTCCTGCTATCCTCTGTTTTATTTTAACTTCAAATGATTCAGGCTGTTTCATGAGGGTTCAAACTTGCTGTGACCAAGCAAAATTCCCCTTATGACTATTAAGGAAACTCCTGTTGTAAATCAATCACATCTATTGCAATTCTACCTCCCACATTTCTATCTCTACACATGCCCCACCAACAACTTTTGTGCTCTGGGACTGCCTAAGAGAAAATGATAGCAGAGACATGTGCCTGTGTTTGGGCAAGGATTCATTAGGTTGTCACTGGTGTTCCTGCACCTGGGGACGCCTCTGTGACACTTTCTGCAGTAATCATTGTGCCCCACTGCGCAGGGACAGGTTGTTTGTCCAGTCACCTTCAGTTCAAAGTGCTCTAATGTGCACAGAGGCTGAGAGCACCAGAGGCACAGTAGTCTTATCACTAGAATTAGAATATATATATTCTGGAAATATGCTGTGCCCCTCCTCCTCCTGAAGTAGAATGGGGAAGGGTGAGTCTGAGAAGCACCAAATACTTAACAACAGGCAGCACAAAAATGGCAGTTATCAACAAAAGGTTGAAAAGGACCAGCTGAACAACATGCTCTAAAATAAGTGAGGAGAGAAGGGATGAAGAGAGAGTTTGAAGGCAATTCATAAGGCATGTATGTACACAGAGCATTTAGTAACACCTACAGCACGCACACAAGCAGAACCAGGTTCACTTAGGGTGAGATAAGAAGCACAGACACTTTCATCTCTACTCTGAAGGAACAGTGCACTCCAAGAGGTGCTCACACCACCCTAGGGTGTTCCAGCATACAGAGGTAGCTCGGACTACTGGAGATTGGCAAGGGGTGTCACACAGATGAAGGGTATCAGTGGCCCTTAGCAGCCAGTCCTGGTTCTCTTTTGCAGGGTGTTTGTGACCTCTCTCCTCACTCCAGAAAACAGGACTTGTACAGAACCTTTGACTACCATGGGATGTTGCCACTGAAAGGAAGCATATATGTACAACAGTAACGTTGTGTGAGTAAATATAATAACTGTCTTTCTCTGCTGAGAATACTGTTGGAAAATGTTGAAACTGCACCTCTTTCATTAAAAAAAAAAAAAAAGCTTACTTTATAAACATCCTTTTATTTAACCTCACAGATCCTTGGGAGGAAGGGATCAGAAACCCATCTTGTGAACAGAAAAACTGAGGCCAAAGCTGTTAACTACTTGCTTATTTTAACAAGGAAATCTACAGTAGAGTCAGGATGGGAAAACAGATGCAATTCCCAGTCTTACCCAGAGCATCATCATCTGATGCTTTCCACCCCTCAGAAGTATCACCACATAGTCCATGTTCCCCTGCTAAGAACTCCTTTGCTACTTGAGAACCTTTGTCACAGATTTTCTCCCTCTTTCTTAAAAGAGAGAAAATAGTAACTTGTTTGGCCTATCTGATTTCTTCCCCTATTCCTGCAGATGGATCACTGCTGATTTGCCACAGCTTTGACAGCTTTAGAACTTTAGATAACTCCACAGAATTAAACTGTGGAAGTGGATTCAGCTCTCCCATAGCCAAAGGATGCTGCATTTAAAAGGGGCCCTTAATTTCCCTGATGCACCCAGAAGTCCACTTCAGTCACCTGTCTTTTCACTGATTGATATTCTTTTTTCCATATTACAAATCAGTGACATAAAAGACTCCATTAAAATGTTTTATTAAAGCCAACTGTAAGTGCAAAAGTGTTCCTTCGACTGTATAACCACATACAATGAATTCTAATCTGGGGCCTCTAAAGATTGTAAAAACACATATTTAGTACAATATGAAATCATGATGATAAAACATACATACCACACCCATAGCATCATATATTCCCTACTACTAGTATTTCAACTTCAGTCATTCTATTAAGGTAATGTCTCAGAAATACTCTCTGAGTTATTACTATAAGCAGAACTATTTTCTGTATTCCAATGAAACTGATCCATTGGAACATACATATTTTAATACCACTAGTATTATTTTAGGTCAGTTTCACATTACAAATAAAAATACCAGGCATTTCCTTTTTCATTTGTCACACCCTCGCATAATTGGGTGTATCAATCCTAATTCTGACTACAATTTGAACTATCCTCTCACTAAGCAGACAAGGAAATTTCATTGTAGCAGCTGCTCTGCCAGTGTTCAAAGAATGGGCATCACTGAGCCACCCATCCCCTTCATAATTTTCTTTTCTCATTAATTTAAAAGTGATAAGTATAAAGAATGTAAACAGTGTTTTGTAAGCAAAGGTTGATAATCCACATAATACAAAAATTTTTCTGATGGTCAGCATTTTGATAGTCAAGCAATGGTAGAAAAACAGTACTGGGTGGAAGTAGATTTAAAAGAGTAGTTTTTTCACTTCAGAAGTATTCCAAATAAAAAAAAAAAATCAAAAAGGCAAAGAGTTGTTGATTGAGATAATACAGCAAACTAACACCCAGCTGCAAGTGGAATATCATGTGTTAATTCCTCCCTTTCTGTAGCGAGTACCACTTGCTTCTGTTTTCTCCCCCCTTTCCTATAGGATGCCCTTCTCATTCATCTCATATTTCTGGGGACCCAGCTGCTCAGAACTTAGTTGCAAAAAATGAAAAGCATGTAGATAGACACATGAAATTATACAAATGTACACATGCCACTATTACCTGTTTACAGTAAATTTTCTGATGCAAATATAATGAGAAATAGAGAATCTCCCTTCACAGTTTCAGTGTAACTATACACCTCATTAAATTTAACTCCAGTGTGCATTGTCAATGACAATACTCACACAGAACAGAAGATAAAAAAATCAGTAACTTCATGCAGAAGTCTGCTTTTTACAGGTGCTCTTCTTCCACTGGTTACTGAGCAGCTCTAAGGAGGAGCTGTGCATGCTACCCCTCCTTTCAGAACTAGCAGTAGATCATGCCATTTTGCATTAATTGTACAGCAATGTTTCCCCAAAAACCTCTCATCTTCGATTTTTCTATGATGAGGCTGTTTCAGAGCAGAACACAGTCACGAGGCTTAGTTGTTACGGCACTTCCTGCCCCTTTGGCTCTCCAGTAACCCTGCCCTACAGCCACACACTGGGCTGGGCTGCTCACTTACTCATTTCCTCCCCAAGCTTCCTCTCCTACCACCCTGCTTTACAGGCACGTCTGACACGGGAGTATTCCACTCCAGCGCTAAGCTCTGACTGCTGACAGTATATGGGACAGCCACTGTTACCTGTGACATGAAGGACCGGTCTCAGCAACACGATAACGGAACAAACCTGTGTTTGCGGGCTCCGAACCCTATCCCAGCACCCGCTGATTTAACAGCTTGCAACTCGAAACAGGATTCAGCTGGGCAATCCGAGCTCGGGCACAGCCTGCTCATGTTAACAACGGTTTCCCCCAGCATTCCTCAACTGCTCGTCATACCAACCTTCAACAGAGTAGAGGAAATAAACTCTGATACCCAAATATAGTTAGGAACTTCACCTCCATACTTTACATGTAGCTACAAGGAGCACAGTAGAGCTGCTTGGCAGGATCTGTAATGAAGCAATACACTTCATGATGCAGGAGCTTAATGAAGTGAAAGAGAGAGGATCTCACAGGTTACTGCCTTTCTTAGAAAATGCTTTAATCACAAGCCATGTAATTATACATCACACAGTGCTATAATGCATCCTCTTTAAAACTAAAACAGAAATGTTACCACCCACAATCAATGCCAAGTGGGAAATGTCAGATGGATTTCAGAAGTGCAGGCAGCCTAATGCAATAATAATGCATGACACTTTGTCACTATCTTCCACTAAATCAGCTCAACATGCTTTCCAGGCATAAATGAGATCACCCCTTCTATTTATCATTTCTGTAGACATGGGGAAACTAAGGCATAAAGGCTGCTTTTTGATGTGGCAAGCAGAGATGGGAATACAACACAAATATTCTGAGTTGAAATTTTTTCTTCTATAACCTTTTTAATCAGGTAATTTTATAAAAAGGCTTGGTGGGAAAATGCATATTCCAGGAATCATGACCCTTCCAGATATTTTTGTTTGTTTGCATTGGAATATGGAGCCTCAGCTCTGAAAATGGTCTCCTGTTACTATCGAGAAGACAGCTTTCCATTCTTAGAGTATGCCTCTGTCACTCCCTTACGTGCCAATGCTGCTGCTTAGGGAGAACAGCAGTTGCTGCCAAGTGAGTTATACTGAGACCTCAGGACAGATTTCCATGCCATGTAGGAGCATAGGTTATATTTGAAATATATTAAAATATTTGTCCACTATATGAAAAAATGTCCTTCCTAGATATGTGGAATAAAAAATTAGTATCCAGTTCTCATCCTGTGTCCTTTGAAATACTCTGTAGGAATGATTGTATCCTCATTTATTAGCAACGAAGAATTGAAATGCTGTCTGCCAGTGCTCACTCTCATGCTCTCTTCTGTGCATAGTGTCACCCTCATACCTTTAGGGGTGGGGAGGCTTTTTAAGAACTCCATTTCCCAGAAAGAATCTGTAGGCAACAGAAAGGTTCTCACAGATTTTTCTTTACTCTTCAATCTTGTGGCAAACAAGTGTTGGAGAAATGGAAGAAAAAATTATCTATTACCAAAAAACCACAAATGTTGCTAGCAGTATACCTGGGTTACAGTATTTCACATCAATACACTATACTACTTTTTGTCACATTTCTTTACAAAAAAAAGAAATAAAAGAAAATGGAACTATTAAATAGGCCCAAGACTAGAATTTTAACAGTCAGCCAAAGTGGAAATATGGCACA